GTTTTTCATGACATCAAAGAACAGATCATAGCAAATCTGAGATTGAAGTCACAAGTTTTTGTTAAACTTTAACTAGGAGGCAAATACAACTGGTGGCATTACCACCCATTCCTCAGCCTTCAAGATACCCTGGGAGGGATAAAAGCCACACTTGTGGCATCTTCTGTCCTCTCTTTGAAGTTCAGGAACTTTAGATGGAAAGCAAAATGGCCACAAAAAATAAAAAGAATCTGATCCATTGCAACCTGTGGACACATTTCAAGGTTGAGTGAAGGAACAAAAACTGGCTATTCAGCTCTTTTTATACACATGTGAAGTATTTGAGGCGCCTGACATCCTGATAAACTAGCAATTCTGTGAGATTGAGCTGGCTCTAAATAATCAGCAAGAGTTACGCTTCCCCATCCAACAGGTTGGAGTCAGCTGTTCAATTTCAATGATGTCTTAAAAATTGGGATAAAGAATAGATTTTTGGTCTCTTCAAGGTAAGTGGCTATTGTTCATTTTAGAAGCCTAAACCAATGTGTGTTTTGGATACCGGAGTGGTCCTTTCCAACTTAAATTTGTTCTGCTCACCAGCTTATGGCTACCCTGAAATTCCCGCTTACTTGAACTTTTGTTTATCTTAGAAAAGCTACAATTTTTAAAGGCATGGGGTCATAAAGTGGCTGGAAAACGTCAATTACAACATCTCAATTTTAATTTTTACCTCAGGACCCTGCTACAACATTGATGCAGACATTAGCACAGCTTCTTTAAAAACAAAGGGCACACAAGGAGAGACCACTACATATCTGCTGGGTTAGCAACCCTGAGTACTGGTGAGGATGGGGAGAATCACACATTACTAAGTGGGAGTTAAGATGGTAAAGCCACTTGGGAAAACTGGTGCTTTCTAGTAAAGTTAAATATATACCTACCCTACATGACAGCCTATGTCCACAAAAGGCTTGATAAAACATTCATAGCAGCTTTATTTATAAGAGCCCCAAGCTGCAAATGGCCCAAGTGTCTATCAACAATAAGATGGATAAATAAATTGCATATATTTATACAAGAGAATACTACTTGGTGATAAAAAAGTATAAGCAACCTGCACAGCAAAAGAAACCATCAACAAAATACAGAGGCAGCCAACCGAATGGGAGAAGATTTTTGAAAAAAAAAACGCCTCCAATAAGGGGCTAATATCCAAAACATATAAGGAACTCATATAACCCAACAAAATTAACTAACCAATTAAAAAATGGGCAGAGAACTGGAATAGACATTTCTCCAGACAGGACATACAGATGCCAATAGACATATGAAAAGATGCTCAACATCACTAATCATCAGAGAAATGCAAATGAAAACTACAATGAGATATCACCTCACACCA